GCTCAGGAGTTGAGGCCTACGGAAAGGTGATGGAGTCAGAGGAGTTAGTGTTGGTCTCACAGAGGGGCTGAGGTCTTGAAACAGGAGATTATTTCCCAAGAAAGTGAGTAGCAATGAAAGCCTGGCCTCTTGCTCTTTCTCCTTCTCTGGCCATATTCTGTCTGTCTCTGTCTCTGTCTCTATCTCTGTGTGTCTCTCTCTCTCTCTCTCTCCCATCCTCTTGCCATATAACTGACCATCACCATGTTTTGACACAGAGAGAAGGCCCATGCAACACACCAGCACCAGGTGGCTAGTGCTAGTGAGCCAAACAAACCTTTTTTCTTTATACATTATCCAGTCTCAGGTACTCTGTTTGCAACATAAAATAAACTAAAACAAGAGGGAAATCTTCCAGGCTTGGTTAAGAACTGCTCAGGAGTGATAGGTGGCTAAAGAAGGTTCCTGGCCTTGTGCACTGCACAAATAAGTAAAAGAAAGTGATTCTCACAGAACCAAGGAAGGGTAAAGAGACAGTCCCTTGAAATAAAAAGCTGCATTTCAGATATTTTAATTTTTGGATGCTTGGCAGGAATGAAATTAGAGATGGTAGGTGGTCACTCTATACAAAAGCTGTTTGTGTGTCAGCCACCACTTGCTACTGTAACTCAACCACACATCAGATAACTTCCTTCTTGAGGCTTCTGCTCAGAACAAGAGACTGGAGCCTTGTGTAAAGAGACAGACCTCAGAAGAGGACATATCTGAGTCCTTGCGCCATCCTCTACTAGCTGTGTGACATCCCAGGGACAATCCTCTTAGCTGAGTTTCACCACAAAGTAGAAATAAGTCCTATGTCACAGAGCTGCTTTTGCGAATGAAAGGAGATAAATAGCTTTCTAATTGCCTGGCATATTAAAAAAAACAATTTCTTCCCTTTCATGGCCTAGTCTTCTCCTCTCCTGTGTTGTTTTAGTCACTGTCTCATCCCTGAGATGCAGCACCAAACACCCACAATGGAAAGGTGGAAAGGCTTATTTTGGCTCACGGTTTGGAAGTTCCAGTGCAGTGTCAACCAGCTCAAATGCAGAAACGGGATGGCGGAAGGGTCTGCCACTGTTGCTGCAGAAGGAAGCTGTGTCCTTGGTGGTGCCCACACAGCAGGGAGAGAAGAGAGGATTCTGGGAAGGAGACACACTTGTCCTGGCCATACCCCCACGATCTGCTTCCAACCAGGCCCTGCCTCCCAACAGCCACTCAGTATGAAATCATCAGTGAACAAATGCACTCATAATTCTAACATCCCTGTGATCCAATCATGTTCCAAACCTAAGAAGCCTTTCGGGGACACTTCACATATAAACCAGAGCACCTATGTTCCACTTACTTACGCAGTGGTTCTGAATTAATGGTAGATATTCAATTAACGGTGGCTGAAATTGTTGTGTAATGTTAAAAAATTATTTCCTGTATTCCAAGTGCCTATTGCATAGCTATTTAAATCTAGATCTACCTATGCATCATCTATCTTTCTATCACGTTTCTCTATCTAAACATGTTCTCATCTTGTTATCAGACCACACAATAATCTAAAAAATGAACCTCTCTGTGATTGTGACCTTTCCTCCCCTGCCATTTCACTTCCTTTTCCTTCGTCTGAGCACGGGGCAGGGACCGTGTCTCCTCTCCCACTTGTCTTTGGATTTCAGCCTTCTGCTTGCCCAGTGTTGCCCATCCCAGAACAGAGCACAGTTAAATGACTTCCTGAGGAAGGAGCTGGAGTGCCTGGCCTTGCATGAGAGGATGCAGGCCTTCAGCAGCTGGAAATGCTTTTCAATCAATACACGCTGGGCAAGGGTCATTCAGCCTTCGCTTTTATCCTGTGGAGTTCTTCAGGGCTGACCTCATCTTGTTGACCCTAAGTTAGCTGGACATCAGGAGGAGCAGGAGGGAACTGGAAGACAAAAAGAGAAACTCCTCTCTTCCGGTAGATCAGCACATGCTGGCTCCCTGAAGCAGCGCTGCTGATATTGGCACCACTGCTGTCCTGTGGCTATAGGTGAGGTGGGGTGGGGTAGAAGGCTCCCTTCTCTTGTGTTTCTCCTTTACAATGAGATATGAACAAAAATACAGTGAATGTTTTAAATTTAAAAAGTTCGCTGCAGCAAAAGGCATATACCCTCCCTGGCTCAGGCACACTCATCCCGTTGTTCTCCGCAATCTAATCTCCGCAGCAGCCCTGCAAGTTCTTTTACCTGCGTGTCCTTAGTTGCGTGGTCATAGCTGCCTCTGGTATCCGGAACTGATTCAAAACATTTATCTTTTATGGTTGTTTTTTAAAATTTTATTTAAAGAGGAAAAAAAAAGCAAAACAGAAAAAAGGTAGAAGTAATACAGATTTTAAAAAACAATAAGAAATCACTATTGGATAAGCTACATATTGTCATCTTAGAAATGTTCAAGTTACAAAATTAAAGCATAAAAAGTGGACATTCAAACAGTGAGACTGCAAACAGTTCTGCTCAATGATCAACAAAAACTTAGTAAAATGGATATCAATCCTACACACTTAAACATACATGCAGGTATATCCTTTAGAGCACTTTATTTCCATCTCTTTTTTATAGTAGCAATTACATATTTTAGGTTTAATTACTCCTACAGTTATTACTTTTTACACTAGAGACACAATGTGGTATTTATAAATATGATTCTTATTTATTTCACTTATGGGGATAGTCTCAGGTTGCTTCCATTTACCTATGAAGGCCTCAAGATCATCCTTTTCATAGCTGAGTAATATTCCATGGTATAGAATTACCACATCTTTTTCATCCACTCTGTGGTTGATGGGCATTTTGGTTATATCCAAGATTTAGCTATTAGAAAGTGTGCTGCTATGAACATGGGTACACATATATCACTGTTACATGATCTTTTCAGTTTTTCTGGGAAAATACCCAGGAGGGGAATATCTGGGTTGAATGGAACTTCCAATCCTAGTCTTCGGAGACACCTCCATACTGATTTCCATAGTGGCTGCACCATTCTACACTCCCACCAACAGTGCAGAAGTGTTCCTTTTTTCCTGCAGCCTTGCCAACATTTGTTATCAGTTGATTTCTTGGTGCTAGCTATTTATGGTCATTTTGACTTTGGAGAGGAGCCAGAAGCTGCACTGTGCCAAGTGTGGTGACTGAGGTGGATGAAGACACAGTGACACTTTTATAAGCCCTCCTCGCCCCTGGGTGACACTGGGTAGCAGCACTCTCTGTGTATCCTTATTATACTGTGTAAAAACGCTCATGAAAGAGGACTTTGAGAACTGCTGAAAGCAACAGGATCTATAGGATCCATGTTTCCAAGTAGGGGGCTGTTTTGAGGAAATTTAATGGCAGCATGTTTTCCATCGTAACTTTTTTTAAAACTTCAGCGTCTGCTGTGTATTTTGATCCCATTTTTGCGACAGCCTTTATTTGTCCCTCCACTTGCTCATTCAGTCAGCAAACAAGCATGGAGACAAATGACCTGGTACCTTAGATAAACACCATCCTCAATTCTGCTTTCTGATCCTATGGGGTCACTCACAGTGGCACACGCAGCACTGTACCCAAACAGTGGCTGGCCCACTCAGTGGAGGCACCCCATGAACAATGGCTTATTTGTATAAGCACTAAAGAAGGGTACAGTTTAGTCAGGATTTGCAAGAGAACAGATTTAATATGGGACACATAATTTATAGGAGTATCTTATAAAATTCATTCAAATAGTCACATACAGAAGACTGCAAGAGATATGTTCATGCTGCAGTCCCAAAGAATCCAGCCACAGTCCTGGACCTCACAGAAATGTCCCCCACGAGTCCACCGAGAGGCCTAGAGCCCATAACAATCTCCTCCACAAGTCCGCGTCAAGGATCTGCACCAGGAAGAAGCAAAGTGTAATCAACATAGACAGCGGATATGGAGGAAGCTCGAAAGTCTGCACCAACAGGGTGCAAGGTTTTTGGCAGCAGGCAAAGGGGTCTGCACTGGAGCCAGGAAGTGGAAGCAATGCTCAAGGAGAAAATCAAAACTCCTCCGAATAGAACAGCAGCTGCCCAGAGACAGCAAGGACCTGAGCTCCTCTGATGAAACAGCCGAGCTCATGTCAGGAAAAGCAGCCACAGTAAGCTTCTGAAGGAAAGTCAGCATACACTCTTCCTGTCTTGGCCTCCTTTTAAGCTGTTGGCCACCATCCTCAGGAGGGTCCTCCAGCCCCAGAATCACACTGACTCATTACAGCTGAGTGTTCACACTTACACTGACCGTTAGTTAACCCACCACAGGCACAGGGTTCTGAGTGAATAAATATCAGTGAATGAATGGGAACGAAGAACACACAGGTTGCGAGAGTGGGAAAGGAAACTGGTGTGGGCTCCTCTTCCATTCATTATCACCGTAGCACATTCATTCACTGCCTTCTCCTTTTATTCATAGCCTTTTTGGAGACAGCATCTCCATAACTTTTGAATCCACAGCCCAGCTCAGCAATTGACAGAGAACAAGAAGAAAAGGTAGAAATACTCCTGGGCTTCTGGTTTGACAGGTGTCAGCTGGACCCCAGCCTGGAGACTGTGCCCTCGCTTACATCACACTATGGTCAGAGTCCCATGTAGGTGAACATGACCCTTGCAAATTCTCCACCATGCAACACTGCATAAAGGCAAAGCTTTGTCGGGAAGAAACCAGCAGGCTTGGGAGCACAACAAAAGAAAGGCAAACCCACTTTAATTCTGATGTTAACATTTAGAGCTTTGCATCTATACAGCTAAGGCATGCTCCTAGGAATCTCCCAGGTTCCTGGCGCAGGAGCACAGTGGGGCTGTTCTCTGCTTTGCCCCTTCAGGGTCCTCAGTTTTGCACACATTCCTGCTCCCCGGGTCCCAGAGGGCTAGAGGGCACTTTCTCCAACACCACATGTGAGCTGGCTTTGGCTGACAGCATCAGAAACCCTGCATGGGGCCTATTATTATTACTTTATTTTCAAAGATTTGTGAAATATTTATGAGGCTTTGAAAAAGCCTCTCTCATAGGGCTCTAATTCTTACATCTTGAGAGACAGTGACTCCCCATATGAAAACTTTTCCCCATGACCAGCCAGCTCCATGACCACTGACCTAGGTCCCCCACATAATGTTTCCTGTCTCCAAGAGCTCTATAGTTTGGAAAATGTTGTCTTGAAAACTGTATGGGCTTACATGATACTGGCCTGGCTGGTCCCTTCCTGGGGACATATGCAAACTATTTAAGGTCTGTTAAGTACACTGCACCTGGGCCAAAGTTCCCTAGAAATAAGTGTACCCTGCTGCAGCCCCAGAAGATGTCAGTGTCCCCCAATCCCTATAGGTCTGTGTTCACTTAGGGTTCTGAGGAGGCATAGACATCAGCTGACTCACATGTGTGTCTTAGATGAACCACCATCCTCTCTCTCTCAGGACAGCTCAGCTCTGCGCCAGTCTCTGTTCCCAGTGTCATTTTGGCTGCTGTCATATCCTAGAGAGCAACAGAGAAACTGCCTTTTCCAAGTTTTGAATTCATGCAAAGAGAGGAAAAGAAAATTGTCAAACAAATAAATATTTGCAAAGTATCCTCAGTTCAGGAGTGTCTTAGGAAAGGGCATTGATTGTGTTTGAGTTGGAATACAGTCTTGAGTTAAAATCTAAAGAACGACTGGAAAACTAGCAAGGAAAAAAATCAAACTTCCCACTGAAGGGACACAAATGGAGAAAGCTTGAGTCTGAGGGAAGAGCAGACCTCCGCAGGTGGAAAGGCTGGCATGGCAGAGCTTGGGACCTTGGGATGGGGAAGAGGGAGGCTCTCACTCTCAGAGAAGTCAAAGGTCAAATCTGGTAGGTTTTTGTGGTACTGTTTCCCGGACCATCGGTAAAACATACAAAGTTTTCAGACGTAGGATCAACATAAACAGATACACAATTTGCAAATCCCTGTAGGTTGCTTTCTGGAAACAGAAGGGAGGAGGCAGGAGGGGCAGGTGCAGAGAGAAAGCTGGTGGGCTGCTTAAGTCCACCTCCTGTCTGGTAATCCTGCTGATGCCCACATCAATCCCCTTAGTGGCAGAGCTGGAGACCTGAGTTCTCAGGCAAGTGACTTAGGGAGGGGCTGCCCCAGAGTCTCAAAGGCAGGGCCGAGTGTGGGAGTCATGGGGAGAGCTGCCGGGGCCTCACCCTGCAGAAAGTCCTGGGTGTCCTAAGAACCAAAATACATCAGCTTATGCAGTGAGTGCTTTTGAGTTTTTGGCGCTTTTTTTTTGGTTCTTATTTTCTCAATATTCTCTAACATCTATATATTAATTTTATAGTAAAAGATATTCTATAAACATAAAACCCATTTTAGAAAAGAAAGGAACAAGGAACTATAGGAGGGATCTGAGTTTCTCTAGTTATCTCTAGAGGAAAGAAAGAACTTGGTGTGAATGAAGAAAGTATACCTCAAGGAACCAGCAGAAAGAAGATGGGCTGGGGCGAGCCACGGCAAGAAAACAACAGGGAATAAAGGGTAAAGCAAAGCCGGAGTGGGTGGGACAGGAGCTGCCTGGCCAAAACCCACGCCTGTTGGAGCCAAGAAACGTCCTCAGAGAAGCCCTCATTTGGCAGATGTGGAAATGGAGACGCAGGGCTCTCTAGGGACATTCTGCACCTGCAGGGAGGCAGAGCTGTGCCGAGAGGACTGGCGACTGCATCGTTGCTCTCTAGGATATGAGCTCCAGGAGCAGGAAGACCTCCACTGGACGACCAGAGTGGACAGGTGAGGGAAGCATTCTGAGCCAATGGCTGAAGAGCAGCAAGATACCCAAGCTCGTCACAAGGCTCAGATTCAAAGAGCAGCTGAAATGAACGTACCGGCACAATAGGTTGCAGTGTTGGCTTCAGGTCCTGGTCCTGGAGGAAATGTCCCGACAGTCCCCACCCCTCCCTATGCTACCCCCAGAGGGGGCTCAAATCCATAGCAGACATACAATAAAGTCAACAAAAGAGGAGGTTTAGTTTAAGCCTGTCTCTCTCTGTCTCTGTCTCTTGTCTATCTCTGTCCCTAATCCTCTATTTCACATAGATGTGCACAGACACACACACATACACACACACACACACACACACACACACACACACACTCAAATACTTAGTGAAGTAACTGTAGGGTTCTCTTCATCTCCAGCTCTGATCTCACTAGATCTACAGAAAGCTGTCCTCTCAGAAATGGAGAGGCAAGCCAAGAGGACCCAGCTCAGTGCAGATGCAGAGACATGCGACCAGCCTTTCACATAGGCCTCACTGTCCCTTCACATGTTAACTGGCTCATGCAAAGTGGAGTCAGGCAGGGTCAGCATTGTTGTGATCAGACTTTCCTTCTGATCACAATCCCCAGAAGCTGTCACTTCCCAGCACCTCTTCATAGTTCCGGTGGCTTCCCAGACCCACAGGCATCAAAGGTATCTCAGAGCACAGTGCTACTGTGTTCTGGTGTGGTGGGGCCTCGGGCATGAGAGATGAGTGGGTGTTCAGTTACTACCATGAATGTTACTGGCTCATGGCCCCATATATCTCTGTTAGCTGGTTCATCTTGGAAAGACCTTTGGTCCTGTGTCAATGAAATAGAACCAAGGAAACCTGTGCTTCCATTGGAGAGCTTGGAGATGCTGATGGTCAGTCCTCTTCTGTTTTTTCTTGATCATAAAATAGACAGTTTGGGTACAGTCACCATTTCACAGGGTGCATTCCTCCATATGCTGTGGAAGAAAAAAAATGGGTTGTTTCACAACAAAACAATCTAAGAAGCAAATTCTCTTATATTCTCTGTCTCTCTGTCTCTGTCTCTGTCTCTCTGTCTCCCTGTCTCTCTCTCTCTCTCTTCTCTCTCTCTCTCTCTCTCTCTCTCTCTCTCTCTCTCTCTCTCTCTCTCTCTCTCTTGTTTAATATATTTTAAGATTAGAGTCCAACCTAACATTCTTGTTTACCTGTTTCAACATCTACTGATGTCCCTCCAGCTCTTATGCCCTGGATTGTTTACAATCATTTCCTTTTTAGGGAAGAATAAAAAAAAAAAAAAAAAACAAAAAAACCAGGACCTCACAGGCAGCATTCATTTAATTTTATACAAACACACTCTTTGAAGCTAAAGAAATTTGGATGGGTTTTATAAATACCATTACTAAAAACAGAATACTCTAAGTAAAATGTGTCTTTTGTTTCCAAAGACTATCAGTACCCTACAGCAATGTGAAAATAATTATAAAAGAGAGATAGTCCACAGCAAACTTTGGGTAAGGTTAGAACTGTGCAGGAGAAACAGAAAATGCTCCGAAATTCTGGGTGTGTAATCACTGGGACATTCTCACCTCACTGGAATCCATGTCTCTAGCCTTTCACCGTTTTGCATGAAGCACGTGCCTTACTACCTGTGACATTCAGCTCACTCCCTTCTCCTCTTCCCTATCCTTCTTATCCTTTAAGACAAGACAGCAGCAGTCTGACACGTAGGCCCACATAGGCTTTCTGGCATTGGATTTCCCTTCTGTTGCAATGGTATTTTCCAGCACTGGAGCACTCTAACATTAAACTGAAACTGCTTATTTATTTGCCTATTTCCTCCTCCAAATTATGAGTCCATAGAACAGATCACAAACTTTTTAAGTGCTGTGTATCACCTGTATACCTTACTCTCAGATATTTGAGAGTATTTAAATATTACAAGGTGTTGGGAACCCACTTATTTGGTCTATGTAGACTTTTGCAAGTATGCAGTAAAGCAAAAGCTGGCACCACACTTGAGCCTCAAGTATTCACCACGGGGCTTCCATAAGGTGACTGGATAGAGCCACTGTGGCTGGCGGCTGTTAGGGACCAGAAAGTCTCGACAAACCTGGCCTGGAAGGGTTTCTCTCTCTCCCAGCTCCTCCTGTTACTTCCCTGCTTCTGTCTGCCACCACTTGAGCAGCTCTCCTGTCACACCCCTCTGCCATCCCATCCTGTCTTGGAATCAGTCACGGGCTAAAATCATGGACCAAAGTCAACCTCTCCTCCTGAACTTAGAAGTTGTGACTGTTGGACATTGGGTCTGAGCATTGAGAAAGTGACTGAGACACAGCTGATTTACAGCCAGGGCACCTGGGGCTGGAAATGTGTACTGACATTACCTGAATCCATAGAACTGCAAGGTGGGGGCTGCATTAGCACCCAGGCAATCAGACCCCAGGACACTTATCCTGTCTGCCATGTTATATTACCAAGGACACTGAGCAAATATTTATTGAAAGAAAAATGACCAAAGCTTTACTAAATGAAATTCTCTTAAGAAGGCCGTTCCTCTGCTTTTCCATCTTCTAAATCCTATTTATCCTTTAACCCTATCTAAAATTCCCTAACTCTGTCAGAAAAAAATGCATTAAAACTCTTTTTAGAAAATCCCTAAACATGTTAGGAATACTTTTAAGCCAAGAATTCTGGGTTCCAATCAGAGTTAATTCAGTAAAAGAAGCTTCACTTTTTGGAATAAGAGCTGTATATTGTATCGATTTTTGTTGATATTTTAACATCTATACTGAGGTATAATTCTCTGTCATGTACTAAATACATCTGTGCCCACAAGATCATATGGCGCTGCTTAGTTCATTTGTAAGGCTATACAACAACATGCCCAAGCCAGATAAAGTATAAAGAGCAGAAATTCCTTCCCCGTGGTACTGAAGGTTGGCAGTCCTCTCTCAGGGTGTTTCAGGCTCTATCTGGTGAGGAAAAGGTGTTTGCTACCAAGACAGTACCTTGAGTGCTTCATCCTCATATGATGGAAGAGACAGAAAGCTAAAAGGGACCTGCTCGTGACCTCCAGCTCTTTTTGTAAGGGGACAGATCCATTCATGACTGCAGAGCCCTGCAGCCCTAATCACGACCCGAAATCCCTATCTCTTTATACTATCATACTGAAAATTACCTTGTGACATGAATGTTGGAGGTATGCAAACATTCAACCCATAGCAAGTCCTGACCCTAATGTGATGGCATTTGGAGGTAAGAACTTTAGGGAGGCCGCTGGGTTGGTAGGAGTCGTGGAGATAAAGCCCCTATGCTGAATTGCTCCCTAATAAAGGGAGGTGGAGGAACCAGGACTTGCTCCCTCTGCCACCTCAAGACACAGTGAGAGAACAGCTGAATGTGGAACAGGGAGGGGCCCGAGCCACAAACCTGAGCACCCTGGCACCCTGACCTTTGACTTCTAGCTTCCAGAATTGTAAGAAATAAATGTTGTATAAGGGTCTAATCTATGGGATTCTTTTACAAGAACCCGAACAGATTAAAAGAGTTACATAATAAAAATTATTGAATTACATACTTAAAGTGGGTGGATTCTACAGCATATACTTCATGTGCATTGATAGTACATTCTTTCTACCAAATCGTGGCAATGGGCTTGATACAAAAGCCAAGTCTTTGTCCATAAAGAACTGGTAAGAAACTCAAGTCAGTGTGCTACAGACATCCCTGCTCTGGTGTGGAAAACTCTCCCTGCCCCGTAATATTTCAATCAAGGTCTTCCCAAGACTCTCTTTCCTCGGTTAAGGCTCCCTCGTGCATTTAGTACCATTGCCTGTGAGCTCTTGTCACCAGTCTCCACATGAACTGAAAGCTCTCAAAGGAGGATATTTATTTTACATCTTTAGATACTTAATAATGGAGAAAACAAAACGTGTACTAATTTGAAGTAAACAGCTTGAAATGTGATGTTCCACCCATCCCTGCCCTTTTAAAACTATGTGACCATAAAACTCCATTTCTCCAATCTGTATAATAGGAACACTACTGGTTACCACCTGACCATGACACTAACAATCTAACATAGCATTTACCAAATAAAAGGATAGAAAGTTCAAAGAAAATTAAGTGCTTTGTGCTCCTTTAAATCTCTGGTACCTAGGTTTTAAGGACTCAAATTTCCAACAAAAGCTTCCTCCTCCCAGTCTTCAAGCAGCCATTGTTCCCAAACTACTTGCTTTTATCCCCTGGACTGCTAATACCAAGCTCTATTTGCTCAGATGAGAGAGTGATTTGAGAACCATTTACTAGCATACATTTTCTCAGCATCTCAAGCACTGAACTACCTGTGCTGAATGGCTCAGTGCTGATCCACTGTGAAAATGTGTGAAGTGTTCAGTTACCCTTAGAATTGTTCATCTCTTACCTGGGGAGCCCCAGCATCCAGTCATGGGACAATAGGCCACGGGTGGAAAATTGTTCCGAGCTTATGAGGAAAGTTCACGGAGAAACTCATCTGCAGCCTTCCTTTGGAAAGTGGGATCCCTCCCTTTCCAACACCTGCGTGTTCCTTTCCTTGACACGGCTGTTCTAACTTCATCTTGTGGAGGAGAGAACAGTAATGAAGCTGACACTGATTTAGGGAATCTAAACACAGAATGAAGCCCAGGACTAGAAGTGCCAGTGGCAACATGGATAGGGCTTAACTGGCTCCAGTTGGAGTTAGACAGGGCTCAGATTTCTGTCAACAACTCCATCCAAGTTTGTTTTAAATTAAAGAAGAACCAACAGGCCCCATGGTGGAAAATCCTCCTTAGCACTTAGCTTTCTGACTGAGTTGTAAATCTATAGGTCCATTCCTATCAACATTTAATACTATCAACTGCCACACCAATAACTGTGCAGGGGACTGGGATTTAGAAGCCAAAAAAGACACAGTCCCCACCCTAAGAATCTTCTGGGTTCCAGAGGCACTGCCCTCATCCTGCCCCCTCCAGGGGAACCCTCTGTTTGTCCCAAGGCACAGATAGGACAGCAAGCTGGAAGTTACGATATGACAAGTTGTGAGAAGCATTAGGAATGGCAGAGGCCATCAAATAGGGACTGGCAAGCAGGATGCACTAAATGAGATGATGAGGAAAAAGTGATCCACTGAAGAATGTGTGAGCCTGCAGCCTGGGCAAAAAACATCACAGGCACAAGATGCTGTGTGCATCAGCAGAGCGAGTGGTGCCTTTACTGTAAAATTCAAGGGAGGAACCTCTCCCAGCAAGGCTAGAGAGAGCCTCACTGAGCATCCTCAGATAAAAGCCACACCATTGCCAGCCAGCCAAGGGGAGTCATAGTGGATGCACCTGTAGCATCGCTGCTGACAAGGATATTCTGGTGGCCAAAACACTGCTGGAAAGGTGGAAGGGACAAGCTCCTAGTGAAGCAGTGCAGCTTGGGGTGGGGACTGTTGTGGCGCCTGCCCGATAGACTGACCTGGCTGCTTCGGTTCCTGAGGCTGGAGGTTCACTTTCTCATCTTCACACTGAGTCCTGAAGTGTCTGAGGAAAGGGGAATGAGTGTAAGATGAGAAGCATGAGAAGCATGGTCCCAAAACTGCAGCTCCAAGTCACAAAGGCCACTCAGATCTTCTTTTTCATTTTCTTCAAGGAAACTCCCTCAAGAAAAAAAAAAAAAAATCCTTAAAACTGCTTTGACAGTAAGGCTGTGAATCTGTTCTTTTCATCTGTACAGTGCGATCCCTTCACTCTCAGGGAGCAGCAGCAAGGCTCAACCCTACATACATGTAGATGCGTTTGTGACCTGACACAGCTACAATGCACACTCCAGATTCCACCTCGAGGACCCTAATACCCACCAGCTCCAGCTCCTACTGTGCATTTTCTCTGAGCACCCACACTCCAAGCCTCAGTGTGTCCTAAAAATCTCTAATAAACGCTTTTTGTGTCATTTCCACCAGTGCATCCTGAAAATTCCTTTTCCACAATGAGAGCCAGGAACCCAGGAATTTACTCCACAAAAAGCATGAGTTAACATTCTTTATTTCCGTCTGTGGAACCACAGACCCAGCCTCATAACATTTTTTTCTTTGCACCAAGGATTTCTCCCTTGGCTATGAGAATCAGGGGAAGGGAAGACTGCTCCGGCTACAGATGACTCACATTCTCGTAAGAAAAAAATCGGATCACTGTGGCATCTCTGGCTTTCAATGTCATTGAGAATCCCCCAGTGAATACAGAAACAGACATTGTAGAAAGAATCCTAGGCCTCGAGCCGCACGCACAGGGGAACCTCTGGCCGTAGCTGTCAGGTGCCACCCTGTGTTTAGGGCAGAAGATTTCCCTCCTACCCCCAGGTTCTTCGTTGCAAATGAAAATAAAGAGCAGCTCCACCAGGTGGGAGGCATACTTAAGACAGCAGTGCGCAATTCATTAATTATTGATACTCTCCAACTAACCTTTTTCTCTATTACTTTTTTCTTTTTAGGAAAAAAAAAGCAGATTCCATACATAGATCATATTGTACACCATGCTAAATACCTTATTTGTTGCTGTGTTTTTTGAGAACCACATAGATCAGTTCACATTACTGAAAGTTCTCTTCCCTTTCTTTCTCTCCAGCACACACACACACACACACACACACACACACACACACACACACACTTGCTAGTGCCCTGCAGAAGCAGAGCTTAGTGACCAATTAATGGGGTCCTTTTGCACATAGAGTGGCTAAGGTGCTCAGAGGGGGCTGGTAGCTCATAACATTTAATTTTATTTTCGACAAGATATTGACCACAACATTATTGCCAAAACCCAATCCCAAAGATTCCATCTGTCTCCTATTGATGTCTGTTCCTGGCCTGCTGGCAACAGTTCAAGGAGTCTGGCTGATTTAAAAGCACAAACTCCTGAAACCAGAGTGAGTTTATTTTCCTAACAGATCGCTATGCTTAGCTCTAATTTAGCATGAAAAGACTCCCGTGATTGCCTTTGGAGATGGTTGGGCATTGTAAGCACGGATTACAGCTCTCAGTTCCAGGGAGCTCACCTACCTGCCACAGAAACACCAGCCGACTAACTGATCTCAGGTTCCGGCGGCATGGAACACAGATACTCACAGCTTTCCTGTGGGAAAAGGCAGCCAGCAACGTTTAGCAATGACTGACCAAGGCTAATAGTTAACCCTGTTCAAATAGAAACTGATGAAAGCCTTATCATTCACCAGTTTCTAAGTATACAACTTAATGATTTTTAAATAAATTTACTAAATTCATGTGACCATCACCACAAATCAGTTTTAAAGCAATTCCGACACCCCTGCTAGGTACTTTAGGCCCATCTTTCATTAATTCCAGTCTTCAACCTGCAGCTTCTTTCCCAGCTAACTGCTGTTGTACTTGTCTCTGTAGATTTGCCTTTTCTGGGCATCTCATATAAATGAAATCATACAATTTGGAGTCCTTGGTGTCTGGCTTCTTTCACCTCACCTAGCATTTTTGAAGTTTGTTGATGCTGTAGCATATGTAACAATAACTCACTGATCTTTATTGCCTAGTATTAGTTATTCTAGTGCCTGAGTGGACCCCAGTTGGTCTATCGCTAACTGGTGGATGTCTAAGTTGTTTTCCATTCAGCGATCTCATGAAAATTCCTGCTAAGAGGCTTCATGAGTGAGTCTTTTCATAGACACATTTGCATTTCTCTTGGGTGGCTTTAAGACTGGGATTGCTGAGTTGTACGGTGAATTCACATCTTGTGTTTTAAGAAACTGTCTCCAGAATCTTGATCCTCATTTCTTCTTTGCTACCTGACGGGAATGCTAGTGATTCTGACAGGATAAACATCCCCTGCTCACACCACTTGCTGCAGCCCGGGGAGGAAAGCAGAAACAAGAGCTGGACTTTCTCTCCCATTTAGATCATCTGGAAGGCAAGGAGCTGAGCCTCACAGCGCAGCTGTCAGAGAAGTTAGAAAGCCTCCCGCTCCTTGCTTGTACTCTTTCTGGGTTCTATGATTCAGGAAAAACCAAATTATAATAGAACGACCAATAGTCAAACCATGAGTTTTGAAACATTTTCTTGGGTCATGAATCACTAATCAAAGCCTTTACTTTTATGCTCAGAGCAAAGATTAACTATCACCTAATTGCAGTTTAATTTACCAGACAGTTTGGGTACTCGCTAAGGCCCTAGCACAGAAAAAGAGGGAAGCAGAAAAGAAAGTTCTAGGGATCAGCTTGTTGTCCTACTAGTGAGAAATCTGTACCTCATAACGATGCATGGTACTCTAGTTTGGAAAAGGAACTTGGATTTTTCCTTCTCCTTATTGCTTACATTATTCCTGCTGACAGAGATTCTTATAAGAAGAAATATGGAAGGATCACTGGACATGAATTCACCTTGGGTTTACAACTCTCCAGCTGTACACAATAGATGCTGGGAGGTGAAACTGGAATGCAGCAAAATAATATGAACACATTCCCACATGAGGAAAGGGACCCGGAGGCTCCTAACCCACATACACACTGGGGTGAGGACGGGGAGGAAATCCTGTGGGATTTTGTCACTCTTCTGATCCCACAACTCAAAGGTAAAATAAAATGACTTCACTCACACCCTGTCCCACAGATCATGCACTCAAAATCATTATTGTTGTGAATTTAGAGATGAGATATGTGTAGCCCAGAAAATTAAAACTGTTACTCCAGGCTAGAAACCCTAAGTCTAATCCTGGCTGTTGTACTATCAGATAGCAATACCTACTGTCCACCCTATCCCAGAGGAGGGAGGGAGAGAGAGAGAGAGAGAGAGAGAGAGAGAGAGAGAGAGAGAGACTGGTAGTATACAACTTACAAATAATAATGGAATATACTGCAGTCTATTGTTGATTCCATATAGCAAATTGATTCTCGCAGAATGTTTTCATTGATTTTTGCTAAACTCTTATATCCTTAGCAAATATATAGTTGCAATTGACAGGCGAGTACATACAGTTCTGCTATCAATATCCCCTTTCCAGTGTATTTTCTGTTATGTTAATAAGTGAAACAACAAAGACCTCTGCCCTTCTTCGCTGGCTCATCAGAAATACAAACAAATTCTGTAATGAATAGGATGATAGTTCTGAGTACTGAAAGTTTATTTCTTCAGTTTTTCTGATAGTCACAATGCTATAATTACAAACATGACATATTTTTAAATTAAATTTGCTTACTTAATGTCTCCTCCATACGTTTATATAATCAAATGCTGATTCATAGCATTTGCCAGTTTTTGTGACATAAACAGTCCCACAGTGGTCAAAGCCAAGCCACCAATGCAGTCACTAGATGCAGATTTGGGAAGAGATGCACAGTAGCATGCTGCCAGCACACAGATATAATAGACATGTGTACACATAAGACTGTAGATAATATCAAACTAATTAAAAATAATTAACAAGTGATGCATATCATGCATTAACCTTGCTTCTAATGCAACTTTTGCAATTATAATTTTATACAAATGTCTTTTTAAATAATAGTTGTTTTTAACTATTGGTATGCAAAGTTCTTGAAACTTTAATGTAGACATCAGCTCTGCTGTGCCATACAAGCCAGCTAACACCCAGCACTGACCCCGCTCACCTTCCTCCTCCTGGGGCAGGTCTGACAGTAAATGCCTCCTTTGTGAGTTTTCATTAAAAGACTCGGGACTTCACTTGAATGCTACCATTTATTACATTGAAGTTTAGTGTCTCTAGAATCTCAGGGCTCCAACAACCTGAATCCTCACTTTACAACTGGGGAAATTAAGATTTGGAGAACACAAGCATAGTAGGAGCCATTCCTACTGCCCTTCCATTCTCCAGCCAATGTGAAGGTCACCACAGAGGGTGGCCTGGGCACTCAGGGACATGGCCAATCCCTGGCTCTCTGCCTCCCCTGGAGTCCTAAGAACAGAGTGGTGCACATTCCACGTGGGGTAGAACATCTCCCTCAAGCCATCAAAGACAAAACCAAGCAAGTAAGTAAACCATGAAGACAGAACACTAGGAAACATGAAAAGTCAGGAAATTAGCTTTCTTAACAATGGCGCAGGAAACAGTCATTAAGAACAGATTAATGGAATGGGCAGAATTGGGAGACGTGCTGTGGGAGGCTGGCACAGTCTCAGCAGTCACACTAGCAGAACACCTCCCCTGCCCCGCCCCAGTCCTAGCTGCCATGGTCTTCTGCTTGGATCACTGTGGTAGCTCCCCAAAGAGTCTCTCTGTTCCTGCTTTACCCACCGTCCTAGTTCACTATTGCCATCACATAATGCCTGAGAGCAGATAGTTTATTTCGGAGTACATTTAGCTCCCCATCTGAAGCTTGGGGAGCTTAAGAATATGGCACTGCATCTTGTGAGGGCTTCCATGCTGCTCATGACATGGCAGTGGGGCTCCTGTGGCCAGGCAGTGCAAGTGCAACAGCTCTGCTATCATTCTTTCCTTGGAAAGTCATAGTGCCATCTTGGGACCACTCCTTCCAACAACTGCTAACCCTAATTATCTCCAAGACCCTATGTGTGCATTTGGAGATTATGCTTGTGACACAAACTTTTGGGGATCACATTGCAATGACAGCAGCCTCCACCAACCTATCTGTCCTCTGGACAGCAGTCAGAGAGGTTCTGGGAGAACATCATGGATACCCCTGTGTCCCAGGTTTGGACTTCATGCTGGCTTCACCTTTGTTTGGAGCCTGAGCCTGAGGCCTTCCTGTGACTACAATTCCTCCTGCATCTGCCTTGCCATCTCCCAATAATGCATCCCTGCACACCCTACCACCCAGCCTGCTTACCTCCACTCCACCACCTGGTCTCACTGCTTCTTTAGGGCTCTGCTCCATTACCTCCTGGGCCTGGAGGCTCTTCCTGCAGCTACCCCATAACTGGACCACTGTGTGATTTACCCCAGCCTCCTGCCCACCCCATCCCAGCACACTCACCTTCTGCCTGACTGTCACCGGCCAACAAGCACTGCACACCCTTGATCCATTCTGCTTCCTGCCATGGTCAGCCCTTTCTGTTCTGTGGACAGAGATCCTTTTCTGCTTTGTTTTGTGGACGACAGAAGTCTTTGTTCTTGCAC